GAGAGAGAGAGAGAGAGAGAGAGAGAGAGAGAGAGAGAGAGAGAGAGAGAAAGTGTAACCAAATGAGTACAAAGGACCTTAAATGACTTTGCTGGGTTTCTCATGCTATTTCATGACCTGTAGAAAAAAGATAGCATTCCATGGTCGTTTCCATCTTATAAAAAAGCTTGAATAGAAACCGAAGGTTTTTCATCTTACAACAAAGTAGCTATTTGTCTCAAAAATCAAGTAAGATTTCCTATATATGGTTGTCTTTAGCTAGAAGGCTAAAAGCAATGAACTTGATGACCTGGTGTTTGCCCACAACAAAATACAGTCCATTTAATTAGTCTAACTAATGTCGCAGGCCCATCCCTGGTCAGGGCTGCTGACAGCTTATTTACTGGTTCATGTTCATCAAGTGTCTGACATGTTCCAGCCCTGCTCTCAGGCCAAGCCATGTGTGAATAAACAGGAATAAAGTCCTCAGGGCCAGAGAAGTGGCTCAGTGGCTCAGAACATCTGCTGCTCTTGCAGAAGACCCAGGGTTCAGTTCCCAGCACCCACATGGTGATTCACAACCATCCGTAACTGCAGTTCCAGGGGATCCACCCTCTGGCTCATTGGGCACCAGCCACACACATGATGTGTGGACATACATGCAGGCAAAGACTCACACACATAAACTAAAAATGAGCTGTTTGTTTTGCTTTGTTGTTTTTTTCAAGATAGACTTTCTCTGTGTAGCCCTGGCTGTCCTAGAAGTCACTCTGTAGCCCAGGCTGGCCTCAAACTCACAGAGATCCACCTGCCTCTGCCTCCTGAGTGCTGGGATTAAAGGCGTGTGCCTCCATGCCCAGCCCCAAAATGAGTATTTTTTAAAAGAAAACAAAAAGGACAGAGACTCAGTGGTATTTTGGAGGGTTTTTTGTCTCCTATTACTTTGGGTCTCATATTTTTGGTCTCATATTACTTATAGGTCTTTTGCTAATATATTATGGTTTCTGATGTTGTGTTTTTAGGGGATTTCCATGGATGTCTCTGCATCTATGTGTTTCTTGTACTTTTTCTTTGGCTCTTTTTCTTCTGTTTTGTACTATTCTGGTTTGTTTGTTTTTATTTTGTCTTATTTATTTTTGTTTTAGATGTCTATTTATTTTCTAATGAGAAAAAGAAAGGGTGTGGATTTGGGGAGGTGGGAGGTGGAGAAGTTCTGGGAGTAGTTGGAGGAGGTGGAACTTTAATCAGAATATATTGTATGGAAAAAAAATCTATTTTCAGCCGGGTGGCGGTGGCACACACCTTTAATCCCAGCACTGGGAGGCAGAACCAGGCAGATCTCTGTGAGTTCAAGCCTAGCCTGGGCTACAGAGGGAGATCCAGGACAGGCACCAAAGCTACACAGAGTAACCCTGTCTCGAAAAAAAAAATCTATTTCAATTTAAAAAAACTAGGGTATTGCTAGAATAATTCTGGAAATACATATAGAGATGGAGAATTAGCCTCCTCCAGAGAGGAGCCCCCAGTTGGTTATTCAATACAAAGCAATCAGCCCTGAAATCATATACACACAAGCTGCACTAAATGTACTCAGCGTTTGTGTGTGTGTGTGTAAAACAATGTGTTATGTGACAATATGAATGTCTTCACGGTTTTGTTGCAATGAGTAGCAACAAATGGATAAGAAACAAAGGAATGATGGCCCCTCGGACAGTCATTCTGCACCCTGTAGAGAATATGTTAGGTGTTCACAGATGTATGTGATGTTTACGTTTATACGCGCGTGCATGTGTGTGCGTGCACACATGCGCATGTGAACACGGTGGGGAGCGGGAAGGACACCAGGTGCCTTCCTCTACAGCTATCCACCTTGTTGGTTCAGACAGGCTTTCTTCACCGAACCCGGAGCCCACTGATTGGCTAGACAAGCAGGTCAGTAAGCCCCTGGGCTACTCCTGTCTGCCTCTTGCCCCTCCCCTTCCCCACCAAGCTTTTACGTGGATACGGGAGATCCAAAATTGGGTCTCATGCTTGCAACAGCAGGCCCTCGGCCGCCTGAGCCATCTCCCAAGCCCTATAAGAAGCATTTTCCATGAGAAGAGGTCTTTGAGCTAAGACTTAAGTGACAAGGAGTCAACCATTCCAGATCATGGGTGGACACTGTTCTCTGTGTGGGAGCGGCCACAGGTAAAGGTGTAAAGTGAGGGTGTGTTAGTGGGAGGTGTGATCAGAACCGTGGGATAGGATGCGGTCTGGCCCTGCGTTTCCCAGCAGGTTGGCTTTTATCCTAACTGCTGGGGAGTGGTGAATAAACAGTGCGTGCTCCGATCCGTATTTCCAGGTGACAATGACTGATGTTTTTGACTGACCAGGGAGGGAGCCAGGAGGTACTGTCTCCAGGCAGGGCACGATAGGGGCCCAGACTGACCTGGTAGCTGAGGGGGTGTGGAATGAAAGGCACAAACCATAGCTGTCCATTTAAGGTCGTGTGGGCAGGACTTCCGGAAGAGCTACAAGAATGGGGTAAGAAACAGAAAGGAAGCAGGACTCCTAAGTGAGGCGGGGAGCAGTGTTGTCATTTACTGATAAAGAGAAGATTTGGAAATACAGGCTCGGGCTGGCTCTGTCAGACAGATGACATTTGGGTTGTCTGTTAGTCATGGTAGCAGCAACGTTGAGTGGGCTGTTGGATGTGATGGCTAGAGCTTTGGAAGGAGGCCAAGGCTTGAGTAATCCCCTGCTAAGTTCTGATGTGCCATGCACCGCTTCCAGCCTGGCTGCACTGGCGTCTGCAGCGAGCGGCTCCTTAGCTCCTGGAGTCAGGCTTCCTGCTGCCCAGCTCCAGCTGACCAGGGAACACACGGACAGCCTGTGGGCCGCGGAGACCCAAACACTGGTAGGAGTGTTTGGTCGTGTTCTTTTCTGTGTTGCGGGCAAATGACGAAGCATGGTCTTCAGTTTTTAAACTTAAATGGATCTGACACCTCCTTTTCGTCACACTGCCCCCACCCCATGTTCCAGCTCGACGGACAAATTGAGGCAGTTCAGCCTAGAATGCGTGTACTCCTGAAGTATGAACTATCCCAATAAGAACACTGGCTGCATTCCCACAGGACCTGGGTTCAATTCCCAGCACCCATTTGGCCAGCTCACAACTATGACTCCAGTTCCAGGGGATCTGACACCCTCAGACAGACATATATGTAAGCAAAACACCAATGTACATGAAATATAAATAAAATTTAAAAAAAAAAGAAAGAACTATCCCCAAGTTAACGGGACACATTCAGACAAGATCCCCCAAATGAGTGCACCTGCAACTTGGCCTTCTCTGCTTCAATTCCAGCCCCAGGAACTTGTGGGATCCTTCTCCCACTTTCTCTCATTTTCATGATGGCTTCTAATTAAGGGGATTTGTGGGATGATTATAATTGATGGGAACTATTAACCACCAAGATGTGATCCAGTTCTAGTGCGCTCACCTGCAAGGTGTCCTTCCTAGCTTGGGGACGTGAGCTGATTAACTTGGAGTCCTCCAGGCTGAGTCTGCTATCTCCTCACACCCACCCTCCAGTTAGGGACTTAACATAGTGACACCTTAATGAGGTTGAAGCCACAGCTGACCCACCTTGAAGGTTCACCCCGGCCAGGGAGTGAGACCGCATCACTGGTAGCAGAATACTCCCTAGACTGTTTCCGGTCCTCCGCTGCTAATTACAGTTGGGTTTCTCCTTGGTTTGTTTGTTGGTTGAACTTATTTCCAAGAATAGATCGCCATTGATTCGGGAACCAGTTGGTGATTAAAATGGGAAATAGGAAAGCAGGCAGCTCAGATCTCTGCTGGGCACTTCAACAGCAAAGCATTTGTCTGCTTCATGGGTTGATTGGTTTGTTTGTTTGTTTGTTTGGGCTTTTTGAGACAAGATCTCACTTAGTAGCCCCAGCTGACTGTTGCCTCCCAAATGCTAGATTAAAGACATGAGTCATCATATCTGGATGACATGCGTCATCATACCCGGATGCCTCATTTTTTGATGGTACCAGAGAAAACAAGGCAGGAAGAATATGCCCTTGGCAGCCACTGGGATAGGCCTGCCAGGTGAAAGATGCCCACCGATTAGTATCCCCCGGCACTGACCTTAGTCCTTAAAATGCCACTAACCACCAAGAATAGGCTGAGGGGGAAAACGGAACTGTTGAGCACTGGCGTTTCAGCTGCGGAAGCGATCCATGGTAGCATGGTGCTGTCTCACCCTGGGGCAAGCACGGTGAGCAGATACTCCCTGTGCTGATGAGAACTATTAAGGTATGATCCTTCTCTCCCACGTCAGTTCTTGCTAAGGATGAGGATATGGTAGAATGATTGTGAGCACACTCGTTAGACTTAGACTACCCGAGACAGAAGCCAAGCCACTCCTGTATACCTTACCTTCTTCAAGAACTGTTGTATGGAGTGTTACTTGTCACCTGGAAGGTAATGCTGGGCTATAGAAGATACAGTGAGGGCTCCGAGCTGCTATCAGGTTCAGGATTAAGTACCCTGCAGGCGGCCAGTGCTGTCCTAGGCACTGCTAGTGGAGATGAGGCCCAGCAGGGAAAACAAGGCTGCTTAAGCCTTCCCTGCATTTGCTGCAGGGTTAGGGGTGAGGCACCCTGCAGAATGTGTGCCTTGCTCAGTGTGCAGTAAGTGTGATGACCGACAGAGAAGCAGAAGCCACACAAGAACCAGAAAAGCAAAGGCACTGTAATTGAGACCAACCCTTTGCCTGTTATGAATTAGGCCGGTGTGCATGATAATGTCATGAGATTAAATGCCCAGAAATTGGACCCCATTCTGGTTAGATAAAAGAATTAACATAGATCAAAGCAGCAGCCCAGGAAATCTTGTAAAATTACCATGATAACATCCTGGGCAGCCAACCATTCAGCAACTTGATTTACATCTCCCCACCCCCATCCCTGCTTTGCACACACCATAAAATTAGCATGACTTACCATGTCTCACCTAAATTGAAAAAAAAAAAAAAACCTAGCATACACATGTACTCACACACAGTTACGATTTGGTGTAAAATGAAATTGTTACTATGGAAATGAAGGGACAAAAAGTGGAGGCCAGTTTGAATCCCACCTCGAACCCTCCCTCGCTAGCTCTCCTTAGCGAGGTTATGCAGCCCCTTCTCCCCATCTGTGTCTGTGGAGTGAGGAATCCTGCAGGCTCTAAGTCACAGCTGTGTTGTAAGGACTCCAACACACCAGTGTGAGAGGATGCGCCATAAACACCGAGTTCCTAGCACTGAGCCTCACCCAGCCATAGCTCCGTACAGCGTTTAGTGCTTTGGTGCTGTGCACTAGCTAGACACCTGCCTACCCCACTGTCCTCAATCTCTCTCTCTCTCTCTCTCCCTACCCCTCTCTCTGTTTCTCTCTGTGTCTCTGTCTCTCTCTCTTTCCCTCCCTCTCCTCTCCTTCCCCTTCCCTTCCCCCATCTCTCCAAATATGTTAGGGTTTGTGTATATATATGTTCTGAACAAACGATATACAGAGACAGCTATAGGTCCATGTTCATTTCAGAAAAACAAAATATATTTCATGAAATCTTAAAACCACTCATAATCTCATAATTCCATGCCAGGTATAGCTACTATTTTGTCGAGTATCCCTCTAGTCTTAGGCATGCAATATACCATGTCTAAGTAAATGTAAGTTTCTATGTCCATGGAGATGTATCTGCACTCACAGGATCAGAGTAGATGTTCTGTCCAGAAGTTTTCCTACTCAGCAGTATACCATGTTTATAAACAAAAGATGTGCATTACCACTTGATATCACAATTTTAAGTAAATGATATGTTATTTCGATAGTTTCATATTGTTAGAAATTTAAACTAATCAAATATTTTGTCACGAACTCCACTTGAATGAATACCTCTGTATTGGTGTATATAGGTCTTTGTCCATGTTTTTTCTCAACAGCAAATTCCTGCCACTCTTCTTGCTGGGAGAGGCGAGTGATACATGGGTTCAAAGAAAACACATGCTTTACATCAAACAGTACTAAGAACGCCTCATCAGAACACAGTCAACAAAGGAAGCAAGTCCTCCCAAAAACAGTACTGCTTTTATGGAGGAAGGGAGGTAGTAAGGATCGAACCCGGGGCCTTGTGCATCCTTCCCATCCACCCTGCCCCTGAGCGCCCCGCCCCCAGCCCCTGTGTGTTTCTCTTACCAGATAAACATGGGGCTAGGGAAATGGTTCCGTGGTTAAAGCACTTGCCATGTGCCCAGGTCAGGACCAAGAGTTTGGATCCCTCATAAAGCCAGACACAGTAGTACTTACGTGTAATGCCCTTCCTCCTCCCATCCCCCACCCCCGTCATACCACAGGAAGATGGGAATCGAGAGACAGGAAAGTCCTGGAAATCCCGTAGCTCATGTACTAGCTAGCCTGGTGTACCCACCGTGTAAACTAAGAGACCCTGTTTCAGACAAGCTGGAAAGAGGACCAACACCCACACCTGTCCTCTGACCTCTACACATGTGCCATGGTGTGCACACACATGCACTCGCACACACAAAGATAGATAAATAATACAAATCTAACATGTTTATCATGTAGACACTGATTCATAATTGTTTCCTTCCATAGCCAGACCATCCACTGCACAGGGCATTGTCAGAAGCCATATAGATTAGTAAAGTAATAAATTAATGTTAATAAAATATGGCCAGCCAGGTGTAGTGGCTCACATCTCTACTCCTGGTGTTTGGGAGGCAGAAGCTAATGGATCTCTGTGAATTGGAGGCCAACCTGGTCTACATAGTAAGTTCTAAGCCAACCAGAGACACATAGACCCTGTCTCTCTAAATAAATAAAATGTGTCCAGAATTCCCCAGTAAAAGAAATGGAAGTTGTGGCCAAGGAAGTGAGTCTCCACACCTAAGTAGCATGTTTACTGAGGACTGTGTTCCTGTAAACGTGAGTGCAGAGGTAAGCGCACCAACTTCCTGTCTGCTTCCAGGGAAAAGCCAGCTCTAAAGGGACTGCTTTGCTAAACCTTGAGCACCATTGTTGTAGGAGCCTGAGAAATGTCTTGCAATTTAAATTTCCAGATATTTTACTAACAACGTATCTGGCTCACAGTGGAGAGAGCCTGATGGGTCGTCTCCTCACTGCGGCCCCTGTGTCATACGGCACAATCATTGAACCTCGCGGAGTCTGTAAAACTGGGATATAATGACCTTTTTCTATTCCCTATGTCTTAGGGGTAGTGCCAGTACTTAGGCAGGAGAACGTTAATTAATGAGAGTTCTCTGAAGCTTCTGAAATGTGTGAGGTGGCAGGACAGCTCATGGCAGGGTTAATGTATTTGCCCTTGATCGTTTGGGTATCTGTGTTAAATATTCATGATGTGGGATTCACATTCACAAACAAGTGGATCCCCTTCTATCTATGTCCTGATATTAATTCAGGCCCACTTTTGAGCTGAGGTTGGCTTCTTTCAGCATCTCAGCCAGTTTTCCAGGGCTGAGCACTGAAAGCTGGAGTGCTGGGGTCCAGGCGAAGACAAGGAAGGACCTGTCCCAAGGGCATCCTTCTGGGCCTTGTCCTGCCCTTTCTGTTTACTCTCAAGGCTTCTTCCAGTCAAGCCCCACAGCTTGCCTTCCCTCTGAGCAGCATCTGTGTTTTGTTTCTGTCTTCCTGTGACCCTCCCTTCCTTCCTTCTCCACATTCCCACTCTCCCTTGTCAGCCCACCACAGGTTTGTAGGAATTACTGCCCTGGTCACTTGGGGTCTCTTTTCAGCACCGTGCAGGGCTCCTGTTTGGTACCATCAAATGGCAGCACTGGGCATGTGCTGACAGACAGACAATGCAGGGCCTTGTTTGTCGATGGGGATGTGATGGAAGACAGAGTCCACAATGTCAAATCCACCCTACCCCAATCCCCTGTCCTGTAGAACCTCACTTCTCAGGCCTCGCTGACCTCATCGGCCCTCATTGCCCTCTTCTCCACGTGGGACAAGTGAGCTAGAGATGTCCATGTGCTTAGGTTGTGCATTCATGCTAATCTTAGAGGAGCCACTGGGCTTCATTTCTAGAAAATGCTGACACCAATATGTAACTGCAGAATTGCATTATAATCCACCCTAGACTGTGCTGGGGAAAGCATTTCCCGGTCTTCAGCAGTCTCCAAGCGGGACAAGAGCCGCCCATACTTTCTACATAGTCCTTCAACAAGACATTTGCATCCCTCGTCTTTCCACTCTAGCAGCACTGTCCAGGAGTCAGAGGTGATCCTAAGTGAAGACACTCAGAGTCTGAAAAGTCAACCAAGGGACATTTCTGAGTTAGGTCAGTCTCGATCTGTGCTGAGTCCCCAAGACTGTCCTCGGACTCGGTGATTCAGGGGCTTGCAGGACTTAGAAAAGCTGTCACACTCAAAGTTATGATCCGTCACATCAAAGGGATCCAGACTAAAAGGAACAGAATAAGGTACCTAGGACACAGTCCCAGCTCCCAGATGTCATTCCCCAGTGATGTCTCATGGATGTACTTTAAAAAAAAA